AAATTAAAAACTTGTATGCTATTAAAATATGGATTATTAGTTAAGATTTTATGCTGTACTAATTGGTATAACATAAAAAGTAGTTTTAATGTAGAATTTGAATGTAAGACACAAAAACCTTGTGGTATGCACAGTAAAGGATACCTGTAAAGATAATAGGAATAAACAATCTCCAGGTTCTCGAGCTTCACTCCATCCCCACCACTCATCTAAGTGATCAGGCAATTTCACTGCCATGTAGTCAATATATTTTTGCAATTTTTTGTGGCATTTCATTATTACCCTTTGATAGCAGTATGGAATCGAAACGTAAAGCATCTCTAAGTGTTAGTGAGGCAAAGTAAAGCTGCAAAGTTATGACATTAGCTGAGAAAATTCTGATCCTTGATAAGTTACAAAGCGGGATGAGTGTAGCACCCATATGCCGGGAATATGGCATGAATGAGTATTTCATACATACAATTAGGAGGAGTGAAGAGAAAATCCGTGCAAATGTTAAGGCTTCTGCCTCTATAAGTGCTAAGGTTTCTTAAGTGCCTAGGAGGAAATCTGTTCATGGAAAAAATTGAGAAATTATTGAATGTGTGGATCAGTGAACAAAAAAGACTGTTTGTAAGAGTGTAGCTATATATGAGAAAGTGTGTAGTTTGTATGAATACGTAGCCTCCAATGAGAGTGGAAATGCTGCAGTTTTCAGTGAGTTTCATGCAAGTAAAGGCTGATTTGCCAAATTTAAGCAAAGCTACAACCTGCATAATGAGAAGCTGCAAGGTGAAGCTGAGTCAGTTGATATCAATGCAGCTGCATGGCTCAAGGAGTGGTTCCTTGAATTCATTAAGGAAAAAGGATATGCCCCTCAACAGGTGTTTAATGCAGATGAGACAGAGCTCTTTTATAAGAAGATGGGCAACAGGATATACATCACCAAGGAGCAGAAGGTAGCATCTGGGTTGAAGGTCTTGAAGGATAGGCTCGCTTTGTTTTATTTGCGAGAATGCGTCTGGTGACTTTAAATGCAAGCCTATGTTAGTGTATTGCTTCACAAGCCTACACACATTAAAAGGCAAGAATAAGTGACATTTGCCTGTTGTTTGGTGTTCAAATAAAAAGGCTTGGTTAACCTGAAGCTGTTCAACACTGTCATTACTTGACATGGACAGGGTGAAAAGGCAAATGCATGTAGTGTATGTTCGTGAAGCAATAATACTGCTACAAGAATTATATATATAGCAGATGGTAACCACTCAAAAACAAAAGTGGTGAAATATGAGCATTTTACATAAATTTCACAAAATATGTTCCTAGTGTTTTTCAGAATTCTATTGTTTGGGTAATTTGATTTAAAAAAAAATTGTAAATAAATTCTTATCTGTGTAGATATTATAATGTTTCATCTATTCCTTTAGTTTCATCTCTATCTGTACTGACTATTTTATATAATCAATTTGTGGTGTGGTTTGCAAGACATAGTGATTTTTATATTGGAAAGGATGTGTACCAGTTTCACCAAAAATCACTTCTGCTTCGTGTTATGATATAAATCTGAATAAATCATTAACAAACTATTGTTGGTAAAAACTGGGATATTCACTTTTCATTATTAGTATGAACTTTGTTATCATAAATAATGAAAATTCAAAAATCTTAGTTTTTACTGACAAAATGCTCAGTCGATATACGTGCAACCATGTACTTTACAGAAACGTTTATGTCTATGCTTTATACATCTCTTCTAACTAACAAACAGCAAATCCATGTGAAAAAGGTAACTTTTTACATATCAAATAATATAAACAGTGAGAAGGTAAAATCTTTACCAGGAATAGATTTAGGTCTATTGGTCCTATAACAAATACTTAGTCATGCGAATATTCTTTTATAATTATAATATGTTATGATTTGTTCATACTTGGTTGTGTTTGGATTGATCAACAGCTGTAAAATAAGAAGTCAGCAACCAATAGTAATTATCTAGATTGATTCTCTACTGCCCTCTTACATTAAGAATCATTAACAAAGCTGACTTTAGGAAAATCTTAACATGAAAAATTTAAGTGAAAATTGTTTCAAAAGTTGAAGCACAATAATTTTAGTTAATGATTGTACAAATTCTGATGCAACTTGTATATATAGAACCATGTTAAAGAACTTCTGAAAAAAAGAGGGAGAGACATGATAATACATATAACACACTCTCTTAAAACATGAGTACATATTGATTCTGAATTTGTGGAGATATTTTCATAATGATGAGTTGAATGTAAACAGAAGTGTGGTGGTTTAACCTGTTGAGATTTAACTGGGTTACTAAACTGACAGGAGCTTGTGTCATGTGATATTTAATTTAGCCTAAAATGTGAAGCCTTCGACCACTTAAGAACACTGTCTATTTATATATATTCTTAGTTTTATCTGTATATCTATGTTTACTTGGTTTTTGAGCACTTACCATAGTTTTTGATGAAACAATCTAATATTTTTCACACAGGGTTTTGACTACCGCGTAATATAATAAAAAAACAGAAATTTTGGATATGGGGGTCAAGGCTTTGAAAATACAAAAGGATATGTAAGGGATCATTTAAAATAAGTTTCCTATATTTTTTTAGGGACTCTTAGGAATGGCTGTGCAATTTTCTTGAAAATTGCCCAAAACAAGGTGTGCAACATTGTTTATAAAATTTTTTTGAGTCCCTTGAGTTTTATGGGTAATTTATTAGAAATTTAATAAAAATAGAACATAAGGAAGATGATCATATAGTTAATTAACAAACTTCCTTTTGCATGTCATTTTATGAAGCAGTTAGTTAGCTTCATCAGTATTCTGATTTTCATTTCAGTTACTGTTGTTTACAGTGTGATCAAACTATTTAAAGTATAAATATCTTCTAGTCAATGCAAAAGAGTTGCTTCAAATACGTTTTTCTTTTATTTAAATCTAGTAATTTATAAATCAAATTGTATAGGTACCTGTAGAATGATAGTGTTCATTCATGCATGATGTTAGAAAAACACGTAGGTTCAAGAAGTCTTGATAGAAATAATAAAATCTATAACCCAAGCTTCATTCATGGTTATCTCCTTAGTGTTTCAGAAAGATGCTTCTGGGTTTGTGATATCTTTAAAAGAATATTACCTTTTGACTCGTAACTGTTCCAATGTTATACTTAGAGGAATTGAGAGACTCTTGAAAACATAATATCTTATTCTGAATTTGTGATAAAGTTTCTAAACTTAGAAACCCAAATCATAACCTTGTTTATTAGCAAGGTTTTTGTGTTGAGAAATATCTTTTGTTTGAGATATTCTGAAATTCACTTCAAGTTTAATGCTTTAGTAATCCCAATGCTTTATGTCATCATATGATTTAAAATAGTGTAACAAAGTGACTTTTAAAATGTTACTCCTGAGCTTTTGGTTGCATTATTTCTTGTCAAGTCAGTTGTGAGAAGAATGTTTTTCAAGTTAACTGCTACTAACTGCTTTTATTAATTTTTTTTACTACCCTGAACTGTGTGAATCAATTATATGAAATTTTGTATAATTTAGTTTTTTTCAGATTGTACTTGCAAATATAACTTACTTGTAACTCTTCTTATAATATTTATAGCTACCACCAAATGTATAGATACTACACTTACACGTTTATTAGAAGGAACTGTGATTTTTACGCCAGAAAGTGTAAGTTCTCATCCACCTAAAGCCTCAATTTCAACTCCTTCTACAAGTACAGCATGTCTAGAAGACAAGTCAACGGCCTCAGACTCTTTATTTGTAGGTTTCTCATTTTTCTAGGCCCTTAGTTATGGAAAAGTTGAATTAAACTTAATCTTCTGGTTGAAATTAAAGGTTCAAAATAAATTAAAGTCAGACAGCAGACTATTATATTTTGTTTTAAAGAAACTTTTATTAATGTTTAAATGGATTAAGGTTGTAAAATATTGTACTTGTATTCAAACATAAAGCTTCATGACACTTCAAACCATTCAACATTATTTATAGAATTGTCTTTTATGCCTGAATATTATGTATATAACAAACTCTACCATTTTGCTCATTTAATCTTGGTGAAGTCTGTTAATCAAGAAACTTTCTTTTATGCACATGTCTTTGTTCATATTCACTCTTACGAGAACTTTAAATTGTCCTTTTCTTATAGGTTCATTACTTTTGTTTAGTGTATGTTTTTTTATGCGAGTCAGAAGTCACCTAGTAATGAATCCTTTATAATCTAGGAACATTTAGAATATTATATGTATGGTATATTTAGTTGATTTTACTTACCTATTTATATAATATTTGAAAAGAGTGTGTAGAATTGGTGCTACTAATTTATTGTAAATTATTCAGCAGACAAGGTGTTTAACCCTATGTATATAGTGTGGATCAAAGTGTTCAAGTCATACATGACCTTTTTATAAATTTATATTCAAAAGTAATTAACCAACTTTATTATCAATAAACTTGGCATCAAAATGTAGTATGTAATTCAAATTTTGACATTATATAAATTTTGATTTTTAATTATAAAAGGAAATATATAAATAATTTCTCACTTCTTTACTTTTAATTGCCCATTTTAGATATACTTTCAACTTGTACATGATTCAAATTGGCCATCAAATATACACTCATTCTACAGATATTGCTAAGCTATAATGTGAGTAAAAGCTTCTAAGTTTTTACTTTACTGATATATATAAATACATACACTCAAGAAAAGCAAAACCATATGCTACCCCTCATTTCATCGTGTCTCTCAAAAAATGTAAGTAATTCTCTTTTGCTATTGAAATATTTATAACCAAAAAAAGAAAGAAAGCAGATTTTGCTTTACTAGATTTGTTATGAGGCTAGTTTGTTTAGGTACCAGGTTAGGAAATATCTAGCCTCAGTTTCATTGTTTTCCTTTGTTGTGTTTAGCTCAAACAGCTAATGGACTTTTTTTTAACACACACACACACACACACACATATACATATATATATATATATATATATATATATACACTAGTTAGGAAGCCAGTTCAATAATAGTATAGTGCAGAACATTATATTTTCTGTGTTTAAAAATTGCATATTTGAAATAAAAATTAATAATATTTTGGGCCACCGACATTGATACAAAAAAAAGGTAGGCCTACAAAACTTTGTTGTCAATGGCAGAATTCCTGAAGTACTAAAATTCTAATTTTTTTACATTTATTTTTTGTCATAAAGGCAATTTAATTGTAAAAGTCAGAAACTTTATAGATTACATAAGAAAATGGAAATAAAAAAAATTATTGTGATGCTTAGTGTCCTAGCATGTGCACAAAACATTGTATGATTATAATTTGGCTATGACAAATGGCTTTTGGTGTACCCTAAGGGAGTACAAGTGCAACTGTAAAGTTAAATGAATCAAGATTTGGAAAATCATTAGCTTTCTCTGCAAGAATAGATAGTGTGCAGTTGTCTGTTACAATTTATTTAGTTATTCTAGAGAGAGAAAAGTGTAATTCCAATATGGTACATTACCTCTACTTGCATATATACCTGACTGTTCTCATTCAATGTTGCCCTCTATAGGTAATTTTGTTTTGCATGCCACAAACCTTGAACTCCCATGTACCCCACAATCAATGTGGTTCAGCTGAGTCTTGCATGTAAATCACTCTCCATCAATAGGATTGTGACACACCCTCTTGACACATGTGACTCCATCTGTTAGGCAGACATTTTTTCACTTGTGCTATTTTCATGTGTTCATTTAATTTTTTTTTTGCAAAGTAGTGATTTTCTTGATTTATTTATTTGCAACAGTTGGTTTTGTATGTAGTAGTTGGCCACAATAACTTACCTTTGTTTATTGATTTTTTCTTCTCATTTTCGACTTCTTCAGGGTTTAAGATGAATTCTAAAGTTTGTGTTTTAAAACTTTTGTTATTATTAATGCTACTTCAAATGCCATTAATTGCTTCAGGTTTGGCAGTCTCGCCTGAGGATTTTTGAACTATCATTTGTTGGGAGATTGATTGTTATATGAATCATCCTTCTTCTCCTGACAATGTTCAGGTTCCTCCTGCATTTTCTGAACCCATTCATGACAAGGAGGATTTTGGCTGTTTTTTTTCTTCCTTCATACCTATGCTATGCCTTTCCATGCATCTCCTAAGCAATCTACTAGGCCTAGCTCTGCCTTTTTGGATATGTTTTCTTAGGTGTGTTCCATTTTCACAGTTTTCTTATGATGCTGTTTACATGCAGTGGGACCTAGAGGTTGCTATTGTGCTTCAGTCTTTGTGCGATCCTATCCATTGCAGTTCATCCCTTTGATTGGGATCCCTCATCCTATCATCACCTGGATAAAGGATCCTAGTGAGTGTTTTTGGATTAAAGCTGGACCAATCAACATAAATCCTCACACATGTGTTGGTTGTGTTTCCTCTTCCTTGCTCAGTTTGTCTCAGGATCTCCACTCTGTGCAGTGGGTCCTGGAGGTTTATGTTGTGGCCAGCTTCTGTGTGGTCCTATTCGAGGATAATGTTGATCGGGGTGACAGTCACTCCTCTTGCGCTCCGCCTTGGGGTGTTTTCACTGCCTGAGGCTGATGTTGTGCTATGAGGTGCCAGTCTCATTGAGTTTGAGTTGATGTGACCTGCCACATTGGCACATTTCATCTTACCGTCATTCAGATGTCAGGTTCCCGATTGTGTAGTTGGTTGTGCATTTGCACATGTGCCCATTTCGTAGATCGGTTTGCACAGTATATGGTTCTGTTCTATATAACTTGAGGTATAGATAGTGTGGACCTTTCTCCTTCCACAGGTCGGAGGTTCTATTCCCGATGCTGCTTGGTTTTGTACTAAAGATGACTGGCTGCATACAGTCAGTCACATCCTAGCCATCCATTTTAGCTTTCCTCAAATTCCTGTCTGTGGATATTTCTTCTGCGGGATTGAGATTCTGGTAGAGTGTGGTTTGGATTCCAACCCAACCTGGTTTTCTCTCCCTTTTTGGTTGTGCTTTACCCACTCTTCACTTGTGTATGCGACACCTATTTCCACGCTGGATGCAGAATACACCTGGTACAGCAGTGGTGCAGTCTCCCAGATGCTTTCAAAGGATCCTTATTTCTTTCCCACACACTGTTCCCTCCACCTATTCAATATGGGATTCTAGCTATAAATGTGAGAGGAGGTAACGTACTATATCAGAAATTATTTTCATATGCTGAAAATATATTTCTGAGAGGTACTTACCTCTACTCACACTTCCCACAATTCCTTCCCACTGAAAACCTGTTTCTTTTCTACCTAATCTCGAAGTAATAATTTGGTAGAATCAATAGAGGGAGTCACATGCATCAGGAGGATGTGTCGCATTTCTATTGGTGGAGGATTGTCACACGATGATTTACATTGGAGGTGCAGTTGAACCACATTGGTCATGCGGTACATGGGAGTTAAAAGCTGGTAGAAGGCTAAAAAAGTTTTACATATAGAGGGTAGCATTGAATGAGAATAGCTAGCTATACATGTGAGAGGAGGTAAGTATCTATAGGTGGTTTATTTTCAGTATAGGAAAATAATAACTTTAGATTTGTTGATATTTATCATCTTTTACCCTACACTGCTGATTTTGCTACAGTTAGTGTTAAGATATATAAAATGACAAATAGAATATAATGTTTTACTGAAAAAAAGACTTGATATTCATTTAGGGAGTTCTAGAGTTTATGCAAATAAAATATGAAACTGTAATTTCATTACATACCCACTTAACTTACAAAAAATATGAAATTTGAAATAGTTAATTGTGGGACAGCAGATTTATTTCAGTACAATGTTTCATCTCCAACAGTGAGACATGATCATGTATAACATAAAAGGTACAAGTAAATTCAAATTGCAGATACATCCAATCAAATAATTGGTGTTATGATACTAGGTCCCTCTGGTTAATGTACTTAACTTAGTACAAATATAATGGCACTCATGATGTTTTATTAATTTCATTCTTAGTGCTTCTAGCTTTTTTCTTGTATTTGGGTTTTTCTCTATATTCAGTACTTTAATATTTTTAAAGTTTATTTTGTGTTGTTTTTCAATCATATTTTCATTTACACTGGAATCTATATGTTCCTAGCATTTGGTTATTATTTTGCTACCTGTTTCTGTTATATAGAAACTTTCACAGTCTGTTTTATACACTGCACCATTGCCATATTTTCCATTATTTAACTTTTGTAGAAAACTCTTAGTTCCTAGTTTAGTTACGATTTTTATATGTGTTTTTTGCCTAATTTGTACATTAATCTAATTGATTTTTCATTAATAACACCTAAAAGATCTATGTTTCTTCTCTTGTTATTCTTGTCGTTCTCATGTGCTCATTTTTTCTTGGTTTATTTTCTTGATTGTGTCATCAATTATGCTTAGGGGTTACTCATTTTTGTTCTCAAACATTCTCTCATGTTTTGAATTTTGTTGTTCATATTTTCATTGATCCATAGTCTGTTATTCTACATCCTTTTAATGTTCTCATTTTTACTTTTTTTACCATGTGCAGAAAACTAGTTCACAGAAATTCCATCTTGAGTCTTCTTTTGGTGAATTTTCAAACTAAATGTTTCTTTATTTTCATATTGAAAAAGTTTATAAAACCATTTTTCTTTTTTTCTGTTGTTTGTTAATGTGTTAAAAAAATACATTGTTTCTTCTTCTCTTTTAAAGCTACATAGGATATCATCAACATATCTCCACCAGAAAAGTGGTGGAAATACAGTAGTATTAATGGCCTTTGTCTCTATGCTGATGAGACATAGTGTTGATAATACTGTAGATAATGGGCTTCTCTTTGTACATACATTTTTTTCAAATATAAAACAGTTATTAATTCCAAATTCCAACAGTTGTTTCATCTTTTAAATTTATTTTTATATTTTTGTTTTCACCATTGTCTGTTTTGTTTAATGCTACAATAATGGCTTCTTCCAATGATACTTGAGTGTACATTGGCTCTATATCAAAGCTACATTTACTGCTATTAGGGTTTTCTTTTTTCATTTAGTTTGTTACTTCATAAGAGTTGTACATGACAGTTTTCTCATTTTCTGTGTATTGTTTTAGGATCTAAGCTTGCCATTTACATATTCATAATTGAATTCATTATATTTTGATAACATTGGTGTCATTGAGAAAGGTTCTTTATGTTTCATTGTTGCTCTATATAACTGTGATATTCTTACCTCTGTACTTCTTAAAAGTAGATAAAGATTATTGTTGATCCAATTTTTATCTTTTAGTTGTTTCAAACATGCATTTAGTTTCCTTTTCCATGTTTCATTAAGGTTTTGTTTCACTTTTTCAAATTTTGTACTGTTTTCAATCATTTTTTTGTATTATGTTATTAACAGTATCACAACAGTGTTGCTTTTATCAGGTTTTGTGATTATTTCTTCTTACATTTGTTGTAGATCCTGTAAAACCCTTTTCTCTTCTTTACTTTTTTTTTATATGATGGCAAAAGCACATTGTATAAAATCGAATTTTTTGACTGCAAAAGTTTCTATATAAGAGAAACAGGTAAAAACATAATGACCATATGCATGGAACATGAAATATAAGAGAGTCAAACATATGACTGAAAAGTAACATGAAATAAAGTATTGAATGTTGAGAAAAAACCAAACAAAATTAAAAATCTGAAAGCACTAAGAATCAAAGAATTAAAATCTAACATTAATGAAACATCAGGAGTGCTATTATATTTGTATTAAGGGGGCTAGTATCATGAACCCAGTTATTTAATTGGATGTATTTGCAGTTTGAATGTATTTGTACCTTAAATGTTGTATGTGATCATGTCTCACTGGTAGAGACAAAACATTATACAGAAATAAATCTTTTATCTCACAAATAGATGTTTCAAAACTTCATATTGAAAACTGTAGGTTGAAAAAAGTATTTTTATTCTTAACATGAATACGACCTTGCACTAAGATTAGTCAGAGTCTGAGTCAAATTTAATCAGTAAATTCACAGATAAATCTTTAGCAAAAATTCTGATTTTTTGTCTCCAACACACTTGCAATGTTTACTAAAAGCCTATCGAAGTTCATAAAGTTACATATAGTAAATTTGGAATTATAGTAAACATTGTGTATAGCTTTATAGATAGTGGGTTGGTGCATAGCACTAATGCCATTCATGTAGGATTAAGATATGACAGATAAAACTTAAGCCCATCTGTTACTTAATTCTCCAAATGCCACTGAGATATACTATTTTGGGGGAACTACACCTTTTGCTGTAGCCCCCACAGACTAGTAGAGATTTGTAATTGATGCCTTTCTTGTGATTTTACGTGGATCAAAGTTAAACATTTTACTCAGATTTATGGTTTTTGGTCAGCCATTACTCTGTATCCTTACTTACCTAAATGAAACTTTAACTTTATTGACAATCCCCACAGAATAAATACATTTATTTGGGATTTTTCTTTTGACTTTACATGGGAATGAAATGTTAAAAGAAACTTCCATTGTATGTAATGTACAGCTCTGAACCAAGAGACATTACCTGCTTATGTAAATGTTACAAGGGGCTCTTGTTATTAGTGTTTTCATTAACACAATGTATGAAATTGTATATATTTTGTTCAAAAATGGGTGTTATTTGCTCAAACATTACTTGTAAAGTTTTGCCATTGTGAATAAACCTATCTATGCAGGAACTGACTTTCCTATATGTCATATGGTCACAATTTAATATGCTCTTATACTTCTTTCTCACAAATAAAGTCTCAACTTGATATTGTGATAAGTGTCTATCCCTCTGTAGTTTCTTCTCCCTTCCCTTGAATTCCTTTCTCTCTTGAAAACTTCTGTATTCTGAGGATCTTATTTAAATAAGGTGGATGAGAGGTGGGGACACATATTGCATTCACTTGCAAATTTTGGCCATTATGGTTTGTTTTTGAGTAAAAAACTGTTCACAAATTTATTGTCTCATCTTACAGAATGTTGGTATAGAGAAACAACAAAGTTAGCACAGTATAGCTTATTATAAAAATTCAGATGTTATATTTCTTGATAGAATCTATCTTTAATAGTGTATTCAATGCTATTAATTGGTTTTAGTACAATCCTCCTTATGAACCTTTAGAAACTTCTTTCATAATACCAGAATTAGAACCTGATGGCTTTACTTTATGATATTGATCTTTTGCCAACAAGTTTAACTTTAAATTTTAATATGAATTTTTGTAATCTACATTTTCTAATAGAGCTTTCTCCAGGCTTCAGAGTTTGACAGTCAAAAGGACCCTTTATATAAAACTTTTTGAGAGTCCAATGTTCAACATGGCTTTTTAGACCAAGCTTGTAGGATCATTTATACTGGATGATGCTGATATCTACTACAAAAGGGTACTGGGGTCTGATATAGAGAACTGATTGTTGTGTTTTAGTTGTGGCATAACAGAGGATGAATATTTATTGAATATTCTAACTGTAGGATTTTAAAGTATGTTTTAATGCTTAAATATTTTATCTTGTGTTTTGTGGAGTGAGGTTATCATTTCAAGAGCAGACACCAGAAAAGAAGCCCATAAATGAAACTTGCCGAGTCTTTTGATGATAGAATTAGCATAGTAAGAAATAATAAATGATATGGTATTCTCAGCTAAAACTGACTTCCCCCAGGAGTGACAAGATAAGTCCATAGAATAACAACAGAGTCGACCAGGAAAGTAATACTGAATTCTTTGAATGTGACTGAGTTCATGAAAGAAGGAGACCAGACAGAAATTTGAAATCACAATGAGTGCAATAGTTTATTCACAATCACAAATAGCTGTGTATGTGTTTATCGTGCATGATGGATAGTTACCTTACTGGAGAGAGATCTCTCTTAATGTGAAAGTTACAATTTGTTGTTCTTTCTAAGCTGTTTATTCTTTCTAGACTTGGTTAAGACTGAGAGAACATAACATTATATAAATAAGACTAGAACTTCAAACTTTTTCAGGATAACATGTGTAACCTATGTGATTGTTGGTTATTCCCATTAATCAGAGAGAAGGTTATATTCTCAATGCATCATCTGACCTGCCAGTGGAAAAGGTGACTGTCTACTTTCCCACCCAGCAATCTTTCTAATTGGAATTAAAAGGTGTATCTCAGGTGCATGACACAGAACAATAGATAGATAGAGCAAAAGGAACTTAATGACTTTCTTAACAAATGTATTATTTGAAATGTGCATGTACACTTGAGTAAATAAAAAAAATTAAAAATTTATATTTAAGTACAAGGGTGTAGCAAATACATGGTATGCTTGTATACCACAACATTCCGGTGATATTCTTATGAAAGCCATTGATGTTTGAAACTATTTTGACCAAAAACAATTAACAATGGATTAATGTCCTATGAAGCACCATGAGCAAGAAATGAGGCTGATGGTTTGCAGACCAGCAGTCAATAATGAAAACAATTTTAGTTTGAAATGAAATTTATATACATGTACTTTAGAATTCCTTGTAAACATTGTAGCCAGAAAAGACAGTGATGCTAATGTTTTTGAAGATCCAGATTGCTTTAGATTTAACAGGGTTAAATAAATACCTATTTACTCTGAGTATTGTGAGAAAGGGAATGTGTATCTAATGCACACACATGAAAAAGTTTTTGTGCATCTTGGGAGCCATAGACACACATTTTTGCATTAATAGAAGCTTCCTCTCTCTGGTTTTTTCTTGATATATGTCCAATTTTATGAATTTAGATTATTTAAATTTCTCTTTATTTATTAGTATATTCAGTTTATTTAGAATGACTTTAATATTGCCCTTACATTGCTTTGTTATTGCTACATTTTCATTTTTAATTTAGTAAAGGACAATTTAAGGTTTCTCTCAAGAGCATATAATGAACAGGAACTTCATGTAAAAGTAAGGTAAGTCTATTGATCAATAGACTTAAACCAAGGTTAAATGAGCAAAACAGTTCAGTTTATTTGTTGCTGTAGTCCATTAATAAACTAGTGTTATTGTTTGATAACAAGAGCATTATTAATGGGTTAAAGAATTTTTGTTTTTCATACTAGTAATATATGTAAGCTTATCAATATCTTATAAAAAGGAAAAAATAACTTTTTCTTGCAAAAGTAAGTTTATGTGGTTAGGGTATGCTGTTTGTTTCCTATAGTTATATGCTGCTATCTTGTACACAAAAATCAACATCTATAATGAGCATTATACAAAGAAGTTTGTCAGGAATGCAGAACTTGTGTACTGGTTTTTGTTGTGTTTTCACAAAGTTTACTTTATAGCCCTTTGTACTGTAATATTCACTTTTTAGGTTTTATTTTTTTCTATATATTGTGTTATTAAATATACCAATCTTCCCAAGGAATATTTTAGGTGTTTTGTTACTGATGATTTGTTGACCATATTTTCAAGTATATTTTTAATAAATAAATGATTGGTCGACAGAGTACACCCTCTACTGCTGCTCAGACTTTTGGAACAACAGCTGAAGAAAGAATGCAGTCCTATCAAGACCGTAAAGCTCAACTTATTGAAACAGCTCGAAGACGCTACAAGGAGAAGCACAAAATGGTTTAAGATCAAACAGTCAGAGGGGCTTGCAAAGAACTTAACTTATGAATGTACAGTAACATTATGTAGTTCTACTGACACATAACCTATGTAGTGGTCTACATAAAAAAAAAAACCTTGTTTTGGATTGACTTGGTTATAAGGCTGAAGAAACTTCCAACTCTCCATGTAATGAAAATCACAGAAAATGAAAAAGTACTATTACAAAAAGTGGAAAATCTTAATTTATCTATTAAATACTTGTTAATAAATATTAAAAATAGTTTATATCTTATCTCAACAGTTTGGTTAGAATTTGTATTATATTAACAATACTTATCATGCTTTTTTTAAAATAAATTTGGCATTTTGTGAATAACTGATCAATTTTATTCAGTTTTTTTTTTGCTTAAAAAGTTTTAACACATAAACATGCCTAATTCAAATTGTCCTGTTTTCAAAAACAATTTAAGAACAGTGAGTACGGGTACACTCAGTATTTCAGCAACTTAGTCAGAAAAAGTTGGGAGGATTTAAAGAATAAGTAATTATAAAGTAAGGATACAGTAAATCCATATAATATCTTAGGGTGAAGCAGAAGTTCAGGGAGGATTTAAAGAAAAAGTAATTATAAAGTAAGGATGCAGTAAAGCCATATAATATCTTAGGGTGAAGCAGAAGTCTACTGTTAGTTATAATTCTACATTTTTAAAGTCAAGTGTTTTTTGTGATCTTGAAAAATGTAATGTAAATTACCATGAAAGCTTTAACCTCATAATCATATAGAGCAGTGTTTTTCAACCCTTTCAATACCAGGGACTGGCTCACTGCCTCCCTAAATTATTGTGAACCACTAAAATGCAAATATAAGAAAAAAAATTACAATTTATATAGGAATATATATATATATATAAATATTTTTGTTTTTGTGAAATCCTACAAACTGGCAAAGTGGTTGTGATGGACTGATACCAGTCCATAAACCAGTTGTTGAGAAACACTGATATAGAGTGATCAAAAAAAGGAGCATGAAATATTTCCTTCACTTTCCCTCTTGAACTAGAATGAGTCTTATGTTAATATAATTTACACACACCTTCAGTTTTCACAATTAAGTTAACATCAAAATCATATGATACTGGTATGAGTTTTGTTCACTTTGACCTTCAAGGGTCCTAGGAATAAAAATATATACTAGCAGCAGATCACTAATCCCCCTCCCCCCAATCCTCCAGAAAAACCTATTCAGCTTCTCTTAGAGAACTGAAAATAAATCATAAACCATGTGACAGTTTGTTTTTAAATTTGGGGAGTTGCATAAATGTAGAGCCACTGTTAGTTCTGTAAGTAGGATAAAGTGGTAAAGAAATACAACTTTTAAGGTTAGGCTTTCACTTGTATTATATTGTTCTGATTAAAATTACTTTTACTGGCAGTTTTAACAAATATCTGACATAAACAACCTAACTTGCTGTTTATTTAAATGCATATTTACTGAAGTTGCTCTTTTATCTTAGTTCAAAATTTTTGTTTAATTAAGATGGACTGTGAAAAAATCAACTATGTCATGAAGAATCTGAATAAAAGAGTTTCAACTGTATGGTGATTTTAGATGACGTGTTTTTTTAATAGAATACAAATAATGTTAAATGTTATTTATTATAATATTTTGTAAACTAATTATACCATGAATTTCTTTCAGTAGTTCAGTATAAAAAGTCAAAACATTTTAAAGTATTTATTGATCTGACTGGCTTGACTTAATCACATGCCCTGTTAATGTATTCTGATAAGCTTCATGGTTAAATTCTATAGTGTCTTTTAATGTGTTTGTGTGTACATATTTCTTAATGAAGTGTGGTACTATGTCTTTATGTTTTTTTTCTGCAAATCTTTTCCTCACTGTATTTTCTGTGTGAGGCTTTTTCACTTGGTCTGTCAGTTCACTGTTATTGTCTTCATATGTAAATTGTTTTTCAGTTAGTTCTGATAAGCTTCATTTATAAGTCTCTTTGTACTTGGGTTTACCAGTAAGCTAGTATTAGCTTCTTTGGATTTCTTGATATGGTGAATATCATGCAAAAAAATGGATCTGTCAATTTGTTTTTATGTGTATACCTCTTATCACAGGGTTTCTCAACTTGCTCTGATGAGCTGCATGTGGAAGTCTTTGCTCATTTATCTGTCAATATTTCCTAAATGGATATGTTTTTTATTATTTCTTATTGTTTAAGTATGTCCTTGGGCTCCTGGTATAAATTTTTAATTATTGAATCTGTTACTCTCTCCAAGTTGATTTCTGTGTAAAATTTTCTTCACTAGGTTCCTTCTAGGGAGCTTCCTGTGTAAACATTTATTGTTTGGTTGGTTCTTCCAATATTTGCTCATGAGTTTATACTGGATATTTTTCTCACAGGGCTCAATATGTTCTGAAGAGGTTATATGTGAATCTTTCATAACTAAGTTCTTAGTTTATCTTGATGAGTTTCTTGTGCAAATCTTTCTTCATTGGGTCTATCAAAATGTTATAATAAGCTTAATTTATCAATAGTAATGTTTCCTGATGATTTTCATTTATTGTATTATCTTCTCTTACTAGACATATATACTTGCTCTGGTGTTGTATGTATAAATCTATCCTCACAGGTTCTGTCAGTATTGCATGATAGGCTTCATAGTGAATGTATCCTTATTGTTTTAGTCAATATTACATGCAGGCTATATATGTCAATCTTTAATCACTAATTTTATAACCATTAATTACCTGGCCAGTATGGAACAAGTTTATAATTATTTTACTATTTTTATTTTACAAATAATTTCAGAGATGTATGTCACTTTAAAGCTTAGTCATTACAGATATGTTTGCTAAAAGAAAAGTAAAAATTAATAGTAATATTTGTAATATAACTTTGATTTGATCATGTAGCATTAAACCTTTCACAACCAGATGTGGCCTGATGGTTCGGGTGCTCAACTCATAATCTCTGAGTTGGCATCCCATCACCAAACATGCTTGCCCTTTCAGTTGTGGGGTCATTATATTGTAAAGATGAATCCCACTATCTGATTAGAGTAGGCAGTAGGTAGTGTTGACTAGGTGACTTCCCTCTAGGCTATTACTTCTAACTTAGAGAAGGCTAGCTCAGATAGCCTTCAAGTGGTTTTGCATGAAATTCAAGAGACAAATCATAACCAGACATTTTGTATTTCCATGAACACAAGAAAAATTGGGAAATTTGACAAAAATATTGAAATTTTTTATTTGATTTATTTATTGTAAAAAGAGCCTACAAAGCCATAACCATTGGATTGAGTGTGAAAACTAACTTAAGTATGCCTCTATAGTAAGCAAGGGGTTAAAAGTTGCATTAAGTCAATGGAATATGTTAAAAAAGGGTAGCATTTAGTAAAGTTTAGTAATTTTAAGTTATTTTTACCAAGTGAAAAGTTACCAAATCTAGTGATTAATATATTTTTGATTCCATAAAATTGAAATTAGACAAAATTTGTCTAAGTAAAAAAATTCATCTTTTAATTTAGCTTTGCTCCAGTTAAATTAAAACATTAAAAATAAATGGAATATAACCAAGTGAAAAGATGAAAAACATAAGTGCACAGTGTCATATTGATCTAATCAAATAACTGGAAAATGCGTGGGTTTGGGGGTCAACATCCACATGCTACATTCAACATGGTATTATGTATTTGACGTCGGAAGTTATCAACTACTAATTTTACATTACATTGCTGATTTAGAAAAAACTTTGTGGTAAAGGAGAGTAAATACTAGATAAAATATCCAGAGGTACCAAAAAAAGAATTAGATGTGCATTTTGGAGGTTCTAGAAGTTATGCAAATGCAATGTGTAAAGTGTAAGATGGTATTTTTATTCTTCATGTAAACTTCATTTTACATTCTGACTTGTCAAGAGCCCATATCCAACTGATGCCAACAGTTCACAGACATATCTTTAGTACAAATAATTTTGTAAACATCTTACTAAAAGCTTACAACATTTTGTGTAGATATTCACAGTAAATTCAGAACTATAGTCAACATTCCTTCTGCAATATTGGGTCAGTCCAGTGGATAGACCTTGTGCACGTGAGGTGTGTATAGCTAAATATGCATATGTGAGTTAACATGATTATGACCAAATTAAAATAGGCACTGTTTACTTTTGTAAAAAGTCAATGATGCTGATTAAGGAAGTAATAATTTTAAGAGGTACAGATAGAATGTGAAATGGGTAAGAAATCTTGCAGTTTTGTCCACACATAATAAAGATAGTCTTATGAGGTCAGCAATATTATCTTGATGTATAAGAAAAAATTACTTAAGCACCAGAGATAAATATAGGCCAAATACGTCAATCATGTTCCCCTCTTCTTATGTAAGTATAACTAACACAAGCAGCATTTAAGTATCATCCAACAGTTTACATATTAATTTCATGTGTAGTGTATTATTATTACAATTCAAGCAACTATTAAGTTTTCCTATTCACTTGAGAAGTACAGAAAAATGTTGGGAGAATTTAATTTTCAAATTAAGCAGTTTCTTTGTTTATAATTGATATACATTGTAAATTGCTTTTATTTGAAATTGTAAGGCCCTTGATGAAGTAGAATTAACATTATTATATAATACAGTTGATGAGTAACAATTTTTAAAAGGGCTAAACTTTGAGTTTTTATATAAAATGTTAACTCTACTGATTTGTCAGTAAGCTTCCTTGGTATGTCTGTTGTTATTGGGTCTGTAAATAAGACTTGACAGTCTTTTAATAGCAGTATAAACAATTATACATAAAACAACCAATCTCACTTCTTACTCTAAGAGAACTCGATCATGATTTGTAAAGCTTTTTAATAACAAATAGTCACACCGAATAAGTCAACCACTATTATAAAAGTTTTTACTAATAATTGAAATCTTTGTTTGTAATTGTTATCATTGTGCAAGTCATCTCTCATAACAACACTGATATAAATTATTTTTCTTTATCATTATAGAACTTGCCCTATTATTATGCTTACAATTTATTTGTTTCCTATTCATCAATATGTGACACAGAATACCACAATTTTCTTTATTCTGTAAAAGTTATTTTAATCAATTTTAATGGTTTACATGTATTAATTTCACGTGTAGTAATTTATTATTATTATACTTCAAGCAGCTATTAAGTTTTCAGTCCATATTTTTTTCCAAAAGCTCCAAAAGGATGAACATAATATTCTCTCGTACTTCATTTGTTTTCCCTTCTTGTACAGATTGTATAATTTTTTGTGGAAACTTTTCTTTGCCTTCTCTCAGTTTAGTTAAGACAGCCTGCCTTGCATTATTTACTTTTTTTGCATACTGTTGAAGTTCCTGTTTGTTGCTGGTAGTTTCTGTAAGGTAGATGATGGAACTGATAAAACTACATTTTGAACGTGAGATTAAAAGCTATTATTCAACTCAACACTATTTTGTACACAGATAAAGAAAAATACATGTAAAATTTGTAACAAGCAAATATCTAGTAAAAGCAAGTCAGGTTTTAGTGTATTTTGTTAATTTGTTAAAAGAACTTATATTTTGATTTCCTTGAGGTACTTATAAAACCAATTTGATAGAACAATAATTACTCTAGTAAATTCTAGCTGGAGACTCCTGTTAGGTTTGAAGGTAAAGTATTCAAAAATTGTTTTAAGAGTATATTTTATAAGCTGAATAAATAGTTAAAGCAGAGGCAAATCATTAACACTAGTAATAAAAATTACTACAATTCTGTTCTGATAGCTTCCTGTGGTATAATTTATGCCAGCAAAAGTACTTGCACGAAATCAGTAATTCATAATAAGAAAAATTTAAGCTTTGTGAACAGGGCCAGATTAAGGTGGGGACTGGTAGAGCTGCAGCTCCAGGTTCATCATATTAAACAAAAAAATGCATTAGAAAATATATGTATTCTGCATTAACAATAGGTTCAGTGTTTTAAAAAAAAATTTTAAACACATGGCCTAGTCATTTGTGATAAGCCTAGATTTACAATAGAAAAAAACTTTACTGAGATATATACACAATTTCAGATGATCCCTTAAATAGAATATTATTGAGCAACTAGAACTGCATGTGACACGAAAATGATAAAATCTGTCTAGCATGCAAGAGCTATGTCACATCTATGAACATGTGTCTGTCAGGAGTGGAGGTCTGGGGGGGTTGAACCCCACCCTTTTCGATGTGAAGTGCCCTCAATATGCAACATATTTTT